TGTGAGTGTGTGTGAGTGTGTGTGTGAGTGTGTGTGTGTGAGTGTGTGGTGTGTGTGTGTGGTGTGTGTGTGAGTGTGAGTGTATGTGTGTGTGTGCGCGTGTGCGTGTGTGTGTATGTGTGTGTGTGGTGTGTGTGTGTGTCTGTGTGTGAGTGTGTGTGTGTTTGTGTGTGTGTGAGTGTGTGTGTGTGTGTGTGAGTGTGAGTGTGTGTGTGAGTGTATGTGTGAGTGTGAGTGTGTGAGTGTGTGTGAGTGTGTGTGAGTGTGAGTGTGTGTGTGAGTGTATGTGTGAGTGTGAGTGTGTGAGTGTGTGTGAGTGTGTGTGAGTGTGAGTGTGTGTGTGAGTGTATGTGTGAGTGTGAGTGTGTGAGTGTGTGTGAGTGTGTGTGAGTGTGAGTGTGTGTGTGAGTGTATGTGTGAGTGTGAGTGTGTGAGTGTGTGTGAGTGTGTGTGAGTGTGTGTGTGAGTGTGAGTGTGTGTGTGAGTGTATGTGTGAGTGGGGGGGGGGGGGGTGGGGGGGGGGGGGGGGGTGGTGTGTGTGTGAGTGTGTGAGTGTGTGTGTGGTGTGTGTGTGGTGTGTGTGAGTGTGTGTGAGTGTGTGAGTGTGTGTGAGTGTGTGTGTGTGTGAGTGTGTGTGTGTGAGTGTGAGCGCACACCCCTAATTCTAGACAGCACCACGTAGCTCCCTTAGCATCCCATCTTTCCATATCTGCTTCCCCTCTGTCACAAAGAAATATCTGTCCAACCTATTACCTGCAGTTCCTCTAGCTGTCCCCAGTCACCAGCCTGGGTCACCACCCTGGTCCAAGCCCTCATTCTATAGGCATATCTGGCCATCATAGCTCTCTAGAAAATGTAGGAAGGGTTACCCTTTTAATAACCATATTCACCAAGGCCTCTTCAGGAATGTACCTCTTACATGGCATGCAGCCTTCATTGCTTGTCACTCACACCTTTGTTTGGTGAGATATAGTTGAAAGTGTCTCCAAAGAGACCCGAAAGCTCATGCCCAACGTGTCAGGGGCACTGTCCAAAAGCGCAACAAGCATCTGTTAGAAAAGAGCTTGTAAGAAAAAAAGCGGTAAGTGTCCCCTGTGTTCCTCCCCCAATTTGCCATCAGAAGGTAGCAGGGACCAGCTCTGATGGAAACTACATGGAGCTACGAAAGTATTCTGCAGATACTTTAGGTCTTGAACTGAATCCCAGAAGTTTGTATGATATTCACTGTAGGCACAGTTATGTCTCAGTGTGGCTATTTGGGAGCAGCAGCCAGGACACTGCTGGCAATGGCAGACAGTCCAGTGGAGAAAAGCTAGGAGAGGAGGGTCCCTCCATGCCCCATGGAAACCTGACAGCACACAAAGCCTTTTGATTTGGCATCTGACCTCTCTTAGGTTGTAAAAACTGTCCCATGCTTGCCCTGGAGTAAACTGTACAGCTGACAAGCCATGTATCCTGACTGCACACACTGTTTGTTCAATCCTACCTTAATAGCACTTCATTTAGAAATCCAGTGACCATTCAATAGAGAAATCCCAATACTGAGATGAGGCATTGATATTACAGAGTCTTGGACTTTAGTTATTGTGTCTGGCCAAGGGTGGGGTTGAGAAGAGTAGGAAATAATTATGTAAAAAAACGACAAAACAAAACCAAAAAACCATGTGTCCAGTATGGCTGTACTGTGTCATCCTCAGTCATTCCTGCAAACAGTAACTCCCATTGTTTCTGTATTCATGAAACAGATAAGGGGGCCTGGGTCGAGCAGGTGTTAACCATTCAAATAATTATCAGTTGAACTTTCTTTTCCTGCCCTGGCAGCTTTGAATAATGGGACTGTCAGTTAAATGGCCAATAGGACTATCTTTATGCGCTAGCACCTGTCATATAGAACATTCTATGGCCAGCTTGAGAGGACTACATGGTGACTACAGCTAATGGCCTCAACTCCTAGAGGTGTAGCCTCAGCTGTACTGCATGAAGCAGTTCTAACAGACAAGCCCGAATGAACTCTAGACACAGCACTCAGTTTTGCCAATGCCAGAGGAGGAACGCTGCCCTTGTGTTCCTGCAGAGGGATAGCTTGATTGACACTGTTGTTGGTCAAAAACGATCCCCAATAGCTGTTACTGGTGATAAGCAGAACAGCAATACCAGCTAGTGTGTTAAAGGCTAAGGAATCCCACACAAGAGCTGTAATCTTTGCAGGAATGGGGGTTCAGATGCCTGAGACCTGCAACACTAGAGAGAGTGCCAGTTTCTTGCTGCTCTCCCTTCCTGGCTACCTGCTGCTACCAAAGACCAGCTTTTTTTTTTTTTAAGATTTATTTATTATGTATACAGTGTTCTGTCTGCAAACCAGAATAAGGCACCAGATCTCATTATAAATGGTTGTGAGCCACCATGTGGTTGCTGGGAATCAAACTCAGGACCTCTGTAAGAGCAGCCAGTGCTCTTAACCTTTGAGACATCTCTCCAGCCCCCAAAGACCAGCTTTTAAAGAGCTTCTCCTGGCTCACAATTTCTGGTTTTTCACATTTATATTTATTTGTGTGTGTGTGTGTGTGTGTGTGTACATAAATGTGTGTCACTTTGTGTGAGATCAGAGGACAACTTGCAGGAGTCAGTTCTCTGTTTCTACCATGTGGGTCCCAGGGTTTGAACTCAGTTCCTCAGGCTAGGCAGCAAGCACTTTACCCATTGAGCTGTCTTGCTTGCCCATAATTTCTATACGGAAAGAACAAAAAGAATCTATCCAACTGACTGGTAAGGCTTAGAGACAGAACTAAAAAGGACATACTTAAGGGGAGGAACCCTGTCCAGCAGGTCT